ATGATGACCAAAAGTAGCTAGCATCTACATCATTTGGTATTTGGTGTATAAGTGTCTCATTTGCAATTATACAACAACTCCTTACTTTAGCTCACCTGGCCACAGCAAGACAAGAAATATGACAAGGACAAAACTGTTGGTTAACTCTGTAAAGGAGTAATTGCCCCTAATTGATGATTTTTACCAATTTTAGTGATTTTCCTTTTAATTCAAAAACTATAAAAGATAAAATAAATGGGGAATGTGTCCATAGGGACTCAGATGATGTCCCCGCTAGCATATAACGTTATAAAGGGACATAACTCACTAACTGTATAAGTGACGCTACCAAAATTTGAACTTAAACTGAGTTTTGTGGTAATAAGCATTGTATAAACATTTCATAACATTTAGTTGAGACAAACTGAAGTTGGAAACAAAAAATTCAGCAACTTTTCTATTTGTAAAAAAAACATAACTTTTGAACTGTAAAAGTGACACCACCAAAACTCAAACTCAATCTGTGTTTTGTGGTAATGAGCATTGTGTATAAGTTTCATATCATTTGGTTGAGTCAAACTGAAGTGGGAGAACGTAACAAAAATTCAGCATTTTTTTTTCATTTGTAAAGGGGCATAACTCTTGAATGGTAAAAGTGATGCCACCAAAATTCAAACTTGTCTTGTGTTTTGTGGTAATAAGCATTGTGTTCAACGTTTCATAACATTTGGTTGAGGCAAACTAAAGTTAGAAAACCGAAACCAATTTTGGGATGTATTTACGTACAGACAGACAAGGGTTAAACTTAATGCCCCCTCAACTGCGGCAGGGGCAATAAAAAAATTCAGAGCAGAAATGATCATGAGGACAAGATTCACAAAATAATCACCAAAACAAAATCTTCAGATATTTTTTTTAATATTGAAAAGAAAATGTATGGTTTTTTTGGGGGAAAACTCAGAAGTACTCCATTTAAATGTTATTGCCACTGAATGTTAATCAAACAAGTAACCATGGTAACTACATGTAGTATGTTAATTTGGATACTGTTGTTTTGTGTATCATACTTTGATATTTTTATACGACCGCAAAAAATTTTTGCGGTCGTATATTGGTATGACGTTGGCGGCATCGTCTGGCGTCGTCCGAAGACACATTGGTTTTCGCACTCTAACTTTAGTTTAAGTGAATGGATCTCTATGAAATTTTACCATAAGGTTCAATACCACAAAAGGAAGGTTGGGATTGATTTTGGGGGATATGGTACCAACAGTTAAGGAATTAGGGGCCAAAAAGGGGCCAAAAATAAGCATTTTTGTAACTTCCAGACATAACTTGTGTGTTAGTGTATGAATCTCTCTGACATTGTACCACAAGGTTCCATATCACACAGGGAATGCTGGGATTGATTTTGGGGGTAATTGCCTCAAAATATTAGGAATTAGGGGCCAAAAAAGGGGCAAAAGACAAGCATTTTTCTAGTTTCATGACAATAACTTGTGTGTAAGTGTATGGATCTTTCTGAAATTGTACTACAAGGTTCCATATCACAAAGGGAAAGCTGGAATTGAGTTTGGGGGTAATTGCCCAAAACGTTTAGGAATAAGGGGCCAAAAATAAGCATTTTTCTAGTTTCCAGACAATAACTTGTGTTCAAGTGTATGGATCTCTCTGAAATTGTACCACAAGGTCCCATATCACACAGGGAATGCTGGGATTGATTTTGGGGGTAATTGCCTCTAATTATTAGGAATTAGGGGCCAAAAAAGGGGCAAAAAACAAGCATTTTTCTAGTTTCATGACAATAACTTGTGTGCAAGTGTATGGATCTTTCTGAAATTGTACTACAAGGTTCCATATCACAAAGGGAAAGCTGGAATTGAGTTTGGGGTTAATTTTCCCAAAACGTTTAAGAATAAGGGGCCAAAAAGGGTCCAAAAATAAGCATTTTTCTAGTTTCCAGACAATAACTTGTGTTCAAGTGTATGGATCTCTCTGAAATTGTACTGCAAGGTACCATACCACAAAGGGAAGGCTGGGATTGATTTTGGAGTGTATTTAGATTCTTAATTTTTGGTCCCGTTTTCAAATTGGTCTACATTAAGGTCCAAAGGGTCCAAAATTAAACTTAGTTTGATTTTAACAAAAATTGAATTCTTGGGGTTCTTTGATATGCTGAATCTAAACATGTACTTAGTTTTTTGAATATGGGCCCAGTATTCAAGCTGGTCCAAATCGGGGTCCAAAATTAAACTTTGTTTGATTTCAACAAAAATTGAATATATGGGGTTCTTCGATATGCTGAATCTAACCATGTATTTAGATTTTTGATATTTGGGCCCGGTTATCAAATTGGTCCACATTGAGGTTTAAAGGGTCCAAAATTGAACTTTATTTGATTTCATCAAAAATTGAATTCTTGGGGTTCTTTGATATGCTGAATCTAACCATGTATTTAGATTTTGGATATTGGAATACCACAAAGGGATGGTAAGAATTGTCTTTGGGAGTTATGGCTCAAACCGTTAAGGAATAAGGTGCAAAAAAGGGGGGAAAAGGGTTTCCAGGTTAATGGACAATTACTTAAGTACAAAACATAATTTAAAAGGCAGTGTAAGGTTGGTAATTGAGACTAATTTGAATATCTCACCTTAACTGTTTTTAAATTATGTATATTGGAAATTTGCCAAAAACTTTATTATTAATAAATTCCATTGGAAATTTGCCAATAACTTTAGTTTAATAAACTTCATTGCATTTTTTCTAGTTTCCAGACAATAACTTGTGTGTAAGTGTATGGATCTCTCTAAAATAGTAACTGGGGGGGGGGGGGGGGGGGTGCGAAAAGTTGGGGGGGGATTTTTTTTTCCAATTTTTTGGGGTTCATATTTTTTTTCTTCAAAGTTTTTGTAATCTTCAATTGCACAGTATTGCGCAATTTCACAGTATTGTACAATAGCACAATATTGGGCAATAGCAAGAAATCTTCAATTGCACAGTATTGCGCAATAGCAAGAAATCTTTAATTGCACAGTATTGCGCAACAACACAGTAAGCACAAAAGCACAGTATTGCACAATAGCACAGTATTGCGCAAGTGCAAGAAATCTTCAATTACACAGTATTGCGCAATAGCAAGAAATCTTCAATTGCACAGTATTGCGCAATAGCAAGAAATCTTCAATTGCACAGTATTGTGCAATAGCAAGAAATCTTCAATTGGAAATAAATACAAATCTTTTAACCAATTTCAATGGGATTAATTTAAAGTCTTTAATTTTTGGGGGTTCTTACCTTGTATTACTTTTTTGGATATTGGGCCCCATTTTTAAATTGGTCTACATTGAGGTCAAAAGGGTCCAAAATTAAACTTTGTTTGATTTCATCAAAAACTGACTGATTGCGGCTGTATGATATGCTGAATCTTATTTTGCATTTAGATTTTTTATTTTGGGCCCTGTTTTCAAATTAGTCCATATTAAGGTTTGAAGGGTCCAAAATTAAACTTTTGATTGATTTCAACTAAAATTAAATTTTTGGTGTTTCTTTATATGCTAAATCTAACCATGTTATTAGATTTTGGATATCAGACCATTCTAGGTAAAATGAATGTCCCATTTCAAATTTTTAAGCTCTTTGACCACATTTATTTTGTGTCAGAAACCTATATTATGTCAAAAATTTGATCACAATCCAAATTTAGACAGTATCAAGCTTGAATATTGTGTCCAAACTTGCCCCAACTGTTCAAGGTTCGACCTCTGCGGTCGTATCAGGCTGCGCTCTGTGAAGTATTTTATTATATTTTACATCAGATTTTAGTAAATTTAATTCTAAGTAATTAATGAGTAGTTTCTAGTCATGCATCAGTGGTTTTATTTATTGTAAGACTTCTTTCTTCATGGCTCAGTGAATGTTGATCCATTGAGTATTAGTTTACTCTCTAGGTTTAACTAGTTTGTGCTATGAAAACTCTTTCTCCTTTATGATAATTGGTTCATTAAGTCATGTGTCTATTTAGGAGGGAAATTCTTTTGTTTAGTCAGACTTTACTTATATTTTGAACTGATTGGAGCTGTGCTGTTCCTTATATAATTTTATTCAAATTTGGTGGACATCTTTGATTTTTTTTCAAATAAGGTCAGTGTTCCATAATTAATACCTCACATGCCTTCTAATATACTGATATGAATTAATGTATTACATTAATGATTTTGTATGAATGGTCAAAATGAATGATTTCAGAATAAAAGGTTCAAATGAATGATTATTATGAAACACAAAAGCACATATTTATAAAATATTGGTTCAATCAGATAAGTCTAAATAATCATTTTATAAGAATTTATGCCAAACAATATTTGAATATCTCAGTTATTGCCAAAAAAATTAAAAGTAATTATGTATTGGACCACCCTTTTTTTTTACATTTAATGTAAATGAATGGGGACATATGGTTGGAAACCCCCTCCCCCTTTTTATCCTGGGTTGGAACCCCCTCCCCCCTTATGTAATTGCTGGATCCGCCCCTGGAAACATTACAGCTTAAAGAAACTTCAAATTGCAAAAATGATCAACAAGACAATATCTACAAACAAGTCAAACTTTAACGAAATTAAAAACTACTCATTATTAGAGTTATTGACTGTTTAATGATGACTTTTATCATTTGTTTTCCTTTTCTGAAAAACAATAATAATATTTTACATTTAACTATTATAGATAGAAAGCCACTTCAATAGCAAAAATGATCAGCAAGACAAGATCTACAAATATGTCAAATTTTGCCAAAATCGTGATTGCCCTTATATGACAAGTTTGCACAAACCAACACACTCACTAGAGCCATCTCGTTGATATTGTCATATTAAATGAACAGAGTTATCTTTCTTTGTACTGATTATTAATATTGCAGGGTCAGATTTTTATTATACTACCAAAACTACTCAGTTTTGTACAAATATTCTAAAAATAATATGCCTATTTATTTATCCTAATTGACATGTTTTTATGTTTTGCAGGAAATTTCTATTAGAAAATGAATCAAATGAAGAATCTTCATGGTTAAATGCATAGAAAGGATATTTGAAGAGAGCCAATGACATAAGGAGAAGCAGTTATGAATTTTGAAATTGATATAAAGGAGAGGTCATTCATCACAGAAGATTTAATCAAAGTTTACAGGTAGGAGACTTGATCGGTTGATTTTTATCAATAGTCATAAATAAAAAAGATGTGGTACTATGATTGCCAATGAGACAACTATCCCTGAGAGTCCAAATATTGCAGATTTAAGCAATGGTATGTTACTATGGCTTTCAACAATGAACAAAACCCATACCATATCTTCAGCTATGCATCTGCTTAGACATTGCTTGTTTACTGTAATGTGGCAAATGTTTAATGCATATTCAAGATGATATAAAATGTTAATAGATGTAAATAACTTAGGTAGCTTCTAAAAATTTTGTAAAAATTGTTGGAGAGGGGAGGAACTAGCTATGGACGAAAGATAGGTGGTGGTGGCAATAAAATTTGCTTTGCAACAAACCATCTGCAGATTCTTCATACAAAAAGTTGTTACACAGGAAAAGACCAGTTATTGAATAGAAATAGAAACATTTGCGTTCTTGTATTATCACTCAAATTTCCAGATCAGATCGAAATTTTTCTGTTAAATATATTGGTATGCAATCCTATACATGCTATAAGCATTTGCTCATCTCATTTCTATGGAAATTACATTGTACTGTTCCCTCATCATAGTTCATAATCTATGAAAAGTTAGTATCAGAAAAATGTAATTAATATAGGTTCAAGTTTGTGCTTTATCCAGTTTAGAGGGAACCGCTTATAAATTTTAGTCAATGAATGGTAGTTTTGGTATAAAATTGTGTAAGAATGATTAGCATTGGCATTTCTTGTCTTCGTGGAAATTATTTAACCCTACATCTCAGTCTTAATTCGATGACATTGGCTACAGAATGTTTGCATTGTCACAAACAAAAAGAAGACATAGGTCTTATACTTCTTTGGCATTATGGTTTACATGTTTTATGAACAATTGCCATTTGAAATTCAGGAGTAACTTCAAGATATAATTTTTTTTATTCATTTTCCATATTCTACATGGACTATTGGACTAATATTCATAAATTCCATATTTTACCTGGTACTATTATACTCATCAGTTTCTAGGGTCAATATTTTGACCCTACTGTATAGAGAACTATATGACCTCAAATGCATTGATCGTTAAAAAAAGGGGGGTTACAACCCCAGCAACCTTCCCCTGGATCTGCCATAATGGGGCCTCGGTGGCTGAATGGTCTAAGTAGTGAAACTACTGTATCACTAGCCTGTAAATAGATATAACAGTGATATCATACTTTAACTTTGTTTAAACCTGTTTATTTACTTTTGACTTTAATTATTTGTCCCTTGTAATTTTTTATTAACTGTGTATTTACATTCAGGTGTCACAGGTCAAATTTATTTGTTCATTATGTGTTAATTTACGTTTTTTGATTGAGTTAAGCCTTCCAATTGATATTTTATAGTGTGTTTTTCTATGTTGTGATGTTATACTATTGTTTCAGAAAAGGGAGAAGGTTTGGTACCATTAAAACGTTTAATCCCGCTGCAAATGTTTGCACCTGTCCTAAGTCAGGAATCTGATTACAGTATTTGTCGTCTGTTTATGTAGTTCATACGTGTTTCTCGTTTCTCGTTTTAATATAGATTAGACCGTTGGTTTTTCCTTTTGAATGGTTTTACACTAGTAATTTTTTGGGGCCCTTTATAGCTTGCTGTTCGGTGTGAGCCAATGCTTCGTGTTGAAGGCCGTACCTTGTCCTATAATGGTTTACTTTTATAAATTTTAACTTGGATGGAGAGTTGTCTCATTGGCACTCATACCACATCTTCCTATATCTATATAAGAAGTTATCCCTGGCTCAGTATACTTCTAGGATATTGATTGTTTAACACACATGGTTACAAAACCCATAGTCGCTGGGTGTTGCTAAATCATATACCGGGCACTTCAGTGGCGTAGCCAGGTTCTGTGTGCAAAGCTCTGGTAGGGGGCAAAGCCCGCCTGAAGCTCAGAGAATTAAGTAAACACAAAGAAGAATTTTGTTGTTGGAAATTTATCTGTTCTGTCTAATTTTCTTTAGAATTATATGTAATGACAGGGTCCAGTTATACCTCGATAAACGGACATGAGTGTTGGACTGATTCAGTGACGACAATTTGTTTATAAACCAGTATAATGCTGCTCTACTAATTTGCCTATTGAATATGCTAGAGAACTCGACGGAGACAATCGACCTTCAAAGAGTGATGCAAACAATTTTGTAATATATGTAGGCTGTAACATAATATTATGAAATAGATAATACATTGGCATAGTCATAGGCCCGATCGTTGCTGGTTTTTGGCCGCTATGACGACACCAAAGCAGTCAGCTGATTACGAACAAGTCAATACAGAAAAGGTGCACAAATAAAACCAATAGTTATGCATTTTTAAGATTGATTAGTACGAGGAAAAGTAGTCTGAAGAACAAATCATGCGGACTCAAAACAATCCAATTATTCAAGTTTGCTTGACATACCGATAAATGGGAATAAAATGAAATGGTTACACGCAAGCGAGACAGCATTTTATCAACATAGATAAAAAAAAACGTCAAACGATATTAACAAACGTCCTCCAACAATGGACAAGTGTCTAAATAATATATATCAAGCTCTAAACCGGCCAGAGCAACACAGTTGTGAATACAATTTGCAGAGACTATAAAGGATCTGTCATTGACACCAAATTTCGAAAATGACAAAATTATAAAGATAGAGTGACTTCCTGACTTCATCTTGGGTAAAGCACATAATCATGAAGCGATGTGAAGTGAATTTTTGAAATCTGTATCCCCCAATTTTTTTCAATGTGAATTAACGAAATTGTGGTGTATATAAAAGACAGCAACCAAAAGACACACAAAAATAATAAAAGACGTCTAGAGTTCAACATCTGGTTTTTATCTTGTTAACTGATAAGTGATTTGCAAATAACAACAATTTACTGGTTTCATTTAAGCAAGCAACATTTTTCTTTGTTTGGTATTATAAAATATGTCAACAACTTCTTTTCAAATCAATTTCAAAATCAGCATGAATGTGCAATAGTATTAGAGAAGATAGCCATTATTGTCCCATTGTATATCTAAGATAGGTTTTAACCCGTTTCAGTTGCAGTTGTTGGTGGCATCGTAAGAAGAATTCTACAGTATACATTAGAATGCAGTTCTTTGTTTGTCGTTTCCAATGTTTCATATAGTTGATCTGGTATCTTTCAACGAGCAACATATCTTTGGATCTCGAGAGGCTCATTGGCGTGATATATATACGCAACTGATCTTCGCGTTTTAACTCTTTAACATTCTGTGGAATTAGAAGGTGGGTGAGAAACATTTCCTCTGAATTAACCAGTCAATCGGTCTTTAAATTTGTTTAGAAGATGGTATATGAACTGATGTAACTGATGGTAAAATATGGAAAAGTTTGGGTATTCTTATAAGTATCGATGAATAAATTGTATTTATCGATACTCCCTCACTCTCACACTCTTTCTCAATCATTCTTTCAAAAAAAAGTTTCAAAACTTTTTTTTTGCCTGTTTGTTTGTGCACGCAAGTGCGTCGTTGCGTCAATAGTAGCTACGCCACTGCACTTGAACGTTGCTACCCAGTTTTCCTTAATTCCATGTTTGTTCCTTGTGAAATATTGAATTCTGTATATTATTCATTATGTCTAACAATGTTAGTCTTTTATGCCAATCATTTGCACTCATTTTTAGTAAATGCATCGCTTGGCTGCCACTTTCAGTGGCGTAGCTACCTAAGGCTCGACTAGGCACGTGCCTATACATAAATTTGCCGATTATATACCCCTTTGGAATAAAAAAAAAAATACACATTGTAATTCTAATGCGTATTATTATTTATACGGTGCCCGTCCGTATTCAAACACCGATCTGTACCCTTCGGTGCATAGGATTATTTTGATTTTATTGACAATGCTCGTTTCATCGGCAACTAATGAAAGATCCTTCAGTGCGATGCGACGCATCAAGTCCTACCAGAGATCGGAGATAAGCGACTTTCTAATCTATCCCTTCTTCATACCCACCCACACCTCGATGTTGAAGTTGATGAGAGTATAACTGATTTTATTGGCAGAAAAAAAACGTTGACTTGACTTTGAATAAGTGTATCATTGACTTTGTGTATGAAACTGGATCTGAAAGTTATTCATAAAAGTTTAGAAATTTTAGATTTGTTTAACCAATTTTTCCCCAATGAGTTAAAAGATTTGTTCGAAAAAGTTGAAAATCGTTTCCCTTGACCCTCTGTGGGCCTTAAGCTTAAAATAGTCCAAACAAATTTTCGCCTCGCTCTCTGCACGCTAATAACACTTGCAACAACTCTTTGAGGGGTCTGCTGAAAGGCAAAATATCTGTCCCTATCCAATAAAGATCAATAAACCCTAATTTTCCAATGGCATTTTCAAAAGTTCAGACCTTCATCCTGGACGACCCCTATTACAGGACCTAGTGGCTAACTGTTGTATTTACTAGCATCGTAAATTTGTTTTTGTCCTGATCATGCAAAACTATTTGCCACTGGATGTTTAGCAATAAATCAATCAACTATCTTCCAGTAATCTCAGATCTGTGTGTAATGACCACATTAATTCAAATTCCTAAGCAGGTAGGGATTTTACAGTAGAGGATACAAGAAAATATGAATTTCTTGAATATTGTTACGATAGTATGAACAGAACAGAACTTCTGCATTAGGCATCAACTGTGTGTGTGTTTGTGTGGCTGGGGTGAAATGTTTAAGAATCAAAAGATCAATGGTTCAGGTTGATGTCTACCCCAAAGCATAGTATTATTATATAGTAATCTCAGTGTTTACGTGCCTATTTTTAGCTCACCTGGGCCAAGTGAGCTTTTCTCATCACTTGGCGTCCTTCGTCTGTCGTCGGTCGTCCGTAAACTTTTACAAAAATCTCCTCCTCTGAAACTACTGGGCCAAATTTAACCAAACTTGGCCACAATCATCATTGGGGTATCTAGTTTAAAAAATGTGTGCAATGACCCGGCCAACTAACCAAGATGGCCGCCATGGCTAAAAATAGAACATAGGGGTAAAATGTAGATTTTGGCTTATATCTCTGAAACCAAAGCATTTAGAGTAAATCTGACATAGGGTAAAACTGATTATCAGTCAAGATCTATCTGGCCTGAAATTTTCGGACAAATCTGACAACCTGTTGTTGGGTTGCTGCCCCTGAATTGGTAATTTTAAGGAAATTTTGCAGTTTTTGGTTATTATCTTGAATATTATTAAAGATAGAGCTAAACTGTAAACAGCAATAATGTTCAGCAAAGTAAGATCTACAAATAAGTTGTCATGACCAAAATTGTCAGTCGACCCCTTTAGGAGTTATTGCCCTTAATAGTCAATTTTTAACAATTTTTTGTAAATTTTTGTAATCTTTTACAAAAATCTTCTACTCTGAAACTACTGAGACAAATTTAACCATACTTGGCCATAATCAATATTAGGGTATCTAGTTTAAAAAATTTGTCCGATGACCCCGCTTTCCAACCATCATGGGCGACTTGGTTAAAAATAGAACATAGGGGTAAAATGCAGTTTTTTTGGTTTATATCTCTGAAACTAAAGCATTTAGAGGAAATCTAACAGGTGGCAAAAATGTTCATCAGATTTAGATTTATTTGCCCTGAAATTTTCAGACCAATCCAACAACTTGTTAGTAATTTTTTACAAAAATTTTGAAGTTTTTTGTTATTATCTTAGATATCATTATAATATCTAATATCTAATACTATTAATTATGATTTTAACCTTATTTTACATGATTTCCAAAGCATCAGTAAATACAGGTGAGCGACACAGGCTCTTGAGAGCCTCTAGTTTATAATCATTTACCAATTATTCAAAATTGATTAAACTAAACTTTACATATGAATGGCTGATTAAACTTAAACATGCATACTTTAGGGATAATAAATCTTATTTTTACTTTTCAGTATGTTGAGAGAAGTTCAGAACAAGCAATTTGGTTGAAGAGGAGTTGTCAACACGTCATCTTTGAACAAGGTCAATTGTATTAGAAGTGAATCCTTAACAGAAATGAGACAATAATCAAATAATTCAAAGACTACATGGATGTTATCTGGACTAGCATTTGTATGACCTAAATGTGGTATTTTTCATATGAACACTTACAAGGCAGATAATAGTCTGTGACAAACATTTGTATGCAATTAAAGACTTGAAGAACTTGTACGGTATTCTTCAGATTTCAGTAGAATTTGTTTAAAACGGTACATTCTTGGTATGAATTGAAGAATTTTTGCTCATTTAAATGAATTATGAAAATGTTTTATATGTTTAGAATAAACAAAAACAACATAAAAGATGGACAAATTTTTATTTTCTTTCTTGAAACTTATAACAGAATAAATTGTCATATGCTAATTCTTGATAGATGTGCTGCCAGAAATTTATCAAGTCTATTTTTAGCCTGAAAGTGCAACTCAATGCACGGTTATACAAACAGGAAACTACATTTATCTTTCAACCATATAAAAAATAAGGATATATGGAAGGGTTGCAAATGAGAGTAACTATCCTGAAATGCCAATGATATCTTATAAACTATATAAGATATCTTATAAACTATATAAGATATCTTATAAACTATATAAGATATCTTTAACTATATAAGATATCTCATTAACTATATAAGATATCTCATATAATTTTATAAGATATCTTATATAGTTTATAAGATATCTCATATAGTTTTTAAGATATCTCATAAAATTTATAAAATATCTTTTAAACTATATGAGATATCTTATAAAATTCAGAAGATATCTTATAAAGTATGTAATATATCTTATATACTTTATGAGATATCTTATCTATATCTTATATAATATATAAGATATCTCATTTGATATATAAGATATTGTATAAAAATAAAATTATAAGCTATCTTATATATTAAATAAGATATCTTATACATTAAATAAGATATCATATATTAGATATCTTATATATTATATAACATATCTTATATATTATATGAGATATCTTGAAATTCGAATAAATAGTAAAATGACTTTCCACCTAAGAACAAGTCATTGTTAAATAGATATAAGAATATGTGGTATGAGTGCCAATGAGGCAACTCTCAATCCAAGTCATAATTTGAAAAAATAATGATTAAAGACTAAAATTGAGAATGGAAATGGGGAATGAGTCAAAGAGACAACAACTCGACCATAGAGCAGACAACAGCTGAAAGCCCCTTATGGGTCTTGAATGCAGCTAGAAACTCCCGCACCCTAATGCGTCTTTCAGCTGGCCCCTAAACATATATACTAGTTCAGTGATAATGGACATCATACTAAACAGTTATACACAAGAAACTACAATTGAAAATCATACAAGAGTAACAAAGGCCAGAGGCTCCTGACTTGGGACAGGCACAAAATTGTGGCGGGGTTAAACATGTTTTTTTGAGATCTCAACTCTCCCCTTATACCTCTAGCCAATGTAGAAAAAAAAATCGCACAAAAATACGCACAGTGAAACTCAGTTTAAGAGTTGTCTGAGTTCGATGTCAGAATATGAAACAAAAGAAAATAAACATAACAACAGACTACTAGCAGTCATGCCAGCTCCAGACCTCAACTTTTTACATTTTCATATCTTTCTGGTTTTACTTTATAGTTGAGTTGCTGTCACACTGTGTTTACCGGAATGCCACATGTTCTTCAATCCTCAAGAATTTCAAAACTAGATATATTTTACAGAGAAGTTATTTCACTTCTTAACACAGGCAACTTGGAATCAAGGTTTTTGATATTATTTCACTTCCTACCACAGGCAACTTGGAATCAAGGTTTTTGTTATTATTTTAAAAATTATTTTCAGTGACTGACATGAAAAACATGACAACGTTATGTATCAGTTAGCATTGGATACTTGTGTATACGTATGACGAAGTTAAGCCGCGCTCTGTGTTTGGGGTTCACAGATACTATACCTCCCTTTTAGGTATAGGAACGTCCCCCGTATACGTATCAAGTATCCATTCTTATTGGTACGTTAAACTGAGAGTGAGGTGGCTCGGTTTGACTGATGTGCGATGGCTCAGTCAACATTTTTTTGCACCAACTGAGAGTGAGGTGGCTCAGTCTGCATGTGAAGCTCTGTAACATGCTTTTAAGGGAAAACTGAGAGCGAGGTGGCTCAGTCTGCATGTGAAGCTCTGTAACATGCTTTTAATTGTAAAAAGTATTTTATTTGTTTTTATCCATATTTTACTGTTTTTATCCAAATTTTAATTGGGGATATTTTATTGTTTTTACTGGAACAAACTGAGAGTGAGGTGGCTCAGCCTGCATGTGAAGCTCTGTAACATGCTTTTAATTGTAAAAAGTATTTTATTTGTTTTTATCCAAATTTTAATTGGGGATATTTTACTGTTTTTATCCAAATTTTAATAGGGGATATTTTATTGTTTTTACTAGAACAAACTGAGAGTGAGGTGGCTCAGTCTGCATGTGAAGCTCTGTAACATGCTTTTAAGGGGAAAAAAGTATTTTATTTGTTTTTATCCACATTTTAATTGGGGATATTTTACTGTTTTTATCCAAATTTTAATTGGGGATATTTTATTGTTTTTACTGGAACAAACTGAGAGTGAGGTGGCTCAGCCTGCATGTGAAGCTCTGTAACATGCTTTTAATTGTAAAGTATTTTATTTGTTTTTATCCAAATTTTAATTGGGGATATTTTACTGTTTTTATCCAAATTTTAATTGGGGATATTTTATTGTTTTTACTAGAACAAACTGAGAGTGAGGTGGCTCAGCCTGCATGTGAAGCTCTGTAACATGCTTTTAAGGGGAAAAAAGTATTTTATTTGTTTTTATCCAAATTTTTATTGGGGATATTTTACTGTTTTTATCCAAATTTTAATTGGGGATATTTTATTGTTTTTACTGGAACAAACTGAGAGTGAGGTGGCTCAGTCTGCATGTGAAGCTCTGTAACATGCTTTTAATTGTAAAGTATTTTATTTGTTTTTATCCAAATTTTAATTGGGGATATTTTACTGTTTTTATCCAAATTTTAATTGGGGATATTTTATTGTTTTTACTAGAACAAACTGAGAGTGAGGTGGCTCAGCCTGCATGTGAAGCTCTGTAACATACTTTTAAGGGGAAAAAAGTATTTTATTTGTTTTTATCCAAATTTTTATTGGGGATATTTTACTGTTTTTATCCAAATTTTAATTGGGGATATTTTATTGTTTTTACTGGAACAAACTGAGAGTGAGGTGGCTCAGTCTGCATGTGAAGCTCTGTAACATGCTTTTAAGAGGAAAAAGTATTTTATTTGTTTTTATCCAAATTTTAATTGGGGATATTTTACTGTTTTTATCCAAATTTTAATTGGGGATATTTTACTGTTTTTATCCAAATTTTAATTGGGGATATTTTATTGTTTTTACTAGAACAAACTGAGAGTGAGGTGGCTCAGCCTGCATGTGAAGCTCTGTAACATGCTTTTAAGGGGAAAAAAGTATTTTATTTGTTTTTATCCAAATTTTAATTGGGGATATTTTACTGTTTTTATCCAAATTTTAATTGGGGATATTTTATTGTTTTTACTGGAACAAACTGAGAGTGAGGTGGCTCAGTCTGCATGTGAAGCTCTATAACATGCTTTTAAGGGGAAAAAGTATTTTATTCCAAATTTTAATTGGGGATATTTTACTGTTTTTATCCAAATTTTAATTGGGGATATTTTATTGTTTTTACTGGAACAAACTGAGAGTGAGGTGGCTCAGTCTGCATGTGAAGCTCTGTAACATGCTTTTAATTGTAAAAAGTATTTCATTTGTTTTTTATCCAAATTTTAATTGGGGACATTTTACTGTTTTTATCCAAATTTTAATTGGGGATATATTATTGTTTTTACTGGAACAAACTGAGAGTGAGGTGGCTCAGTCTGCATGTGAAGCTCTGTAACATACTTTTAAGAGGAAAAAGTATTTTATTTGTTTTTATCCAAATTTTAATTGGGGATATTTTACTGTTTTTATCCAAATTTTAATTGGGGATATTTTATTGTTTTTACTAGAACAAACTGAGAGTGAGGTGGCTCAGCCTGCATGTGAAGCTCTGTAACATGCTTTTAAGGGGAAAAAAGTATTTTATTTGTTTTTATCCAAATTTTTATTGGGGATATTTTACTGTTTTTATCCAAATTTTAATTCGGGATATTTTATTGTTTTTACTGGAACAAACTGAGAGTGAGGTGGCTCAGTCTGCATGTGAAGCTCTGTAACATGCTTTTAATTGTAAAGTATTTTATTTGTTTTTATCCAAATTTTAATTGGGGATATTTTACTGTTTTTATCCAAATTTTAATTGGGGATATTTTATTGTTTTTACTAGAACAAACTGAGAGTGAGGTGGCTCAGCCTGCATGTGAAGCTCTGTAACATGCTTTTAAGGGGAAAAAAGTATTTTATTTGTTTTTATCCAAATTTTTATTGGGGATATTTTACTGTTTTTATCCAAATTTTAATTGGGGATATTTTATTGTTTTTACTGGAACAAACTGAGAGTGAGGTGGCTCAGTCTGCATGTGAAGCTCTGTAACATGTTTTTAAGAGGAAAAAGTATTTTATTTGTTTTTATCCAAATTTTAATTGGGGATATTTTACTGTTTTTATCCAAATTTTAATTGGGGATATTTTATTGTTTTTACTAGAACAAACTGAGAGTGAGGTGGCTCAGCCTGCATGTGAAGCTCTGTAACATGCTTTTAAGGGGAAAAAAGTATTTTATTTGTTTTTATCCAAATTTTAATTGGGGATATTTTACTGTTTTTATCCAAATTTTAATTGGGGATATTTTATTGTTTTTACTGGAACAAACTGAGAGTGAGGTGGCTCAGTCTGCATGTGAAGCTCTGTAACATGCTTTTAAGGGGAAAAAGTATTTTATTCCAAATTTTAATTGGGGATATTTCACTATTTTTATCCAAATTTTAATTGGGGATATTTTATTGTTTTTACTGGAACAATATGAGAGTGAGGTGGCTCAGTCTGCATGTGAAGCTCTGTAACATGCTTTTAATTGTAAAAAGTATTTTATTTGTTTTTTATCCAAATTTTAATTGGGGACATTTTACTGTTTTTATCCAAATTTTAATTGGGGATATATTATTGTTTTTACTGGAACAAACTGAGAGTGAGGTGGCTCAGTCTGCATGTGAAGCTCTGTAACATGCTTTTAAGAGGAAAAAGTATTTTATTTGTTTTTATCCAAATTTTAATTGGGGATATTTTACTGTTTTTATCCAAATTTTAATTGGGGATATTTTACTGTTTTTATCCAAATTTTAATTGGGGATATTTTATTGTTTTTACTAGAACAAACTGAGAGTGAG